TTTCCTCCAAATACTGAAGATTGGGTTAGGGTAATAACCTGGGATAGGACTGCAATGCACTGTATCCCTTGGAATTGGGAGCAGAAATAAAGTACAAGGTCACTCCTTACTGAATTTGTCTGGTTACCTGAGCAAGGACAGAATTAATCCCTATGTCAAATACTATGAAGTCTGTGTGACTGCCAGACCCACTAGAGAGTGGGCAAACAGGAGCATGAGGAATGCTGTAGCACGTTCACGATGGACCACTGGTAAGCCAACAAGCTGGAGAGCCATCTCCACAGAGAATCTTACACCTCTCCTCTAGAGACTTTCTATTAAGATCACTTGTGATTTTTATGGACCTCAACAACATCTGGGTTCTATTCTTTCTAGTTCAAGAAAGTGAAGCCACCCAAGGCTGGTAGTGTGTGCCTGCAATTCCAGCATTTGGGAGGCTGAGACAAAGGAGTGCCATGACTTCAAAGCCAGCCTGGGATTATATGGCAACTACCAGGCCCAACAAAGGCTGTACAGGAGGGAGAGGGGAGACAGACAGAGACAGAAGAGGGGGGAAGGGGAGAGAGGGAAGAGAGAGGAGAGGGGAGAGGGGAGAGAGGGAAGACAGATGAGAGGGGAGAGCAAGCTCCTAAAGAACCTTATGAAGACAGAAGTATAAGGAAGTATAGCCAGCAAGTGTTACACAGAAAGTCAAATACTGACCAGTAGGAAAATTACTGTTTTATGGGTACAAATGTGGCAATGACTTTTTCTGAAATTGTACCAATGGACCCAGTAGTTTAACAAACCACACCCTTTTTTTAAACATGCTTTGGATGATAATATATGAACTGCCACAACGCTATCTCAGTAATCCTGACAGAAGGCATAATTAAAGTGCTTAACTGGCAACCAGAGGTACTGCTGTTACAATTCTCACAGCTGCAGGATGCAGCCAAACATATTCTACCAGAACCTAAGGCTTTTCCTGTGCGTTTAATTCCAGCCCAATTAATAGGTGTCAGACACACCCTCTGTTAATAGGCATGGCTTAATTTAAATTAATCTCCCCAGGAGCAGGCTAATTCAAGGGAATCTGTGTGAACAGCTAGACACATGTGTTCACATTACCAGCAGGAGAGTTCACCCTTAGTTTACTACTAACAGATACAGTTTTGTGAGCTTCTGTTTAAAGGCAGGTACACTAGGGGACACCAATATGTAAAACTGAGTCTGAAAAGTAATTTGAACTCAGTTGTACTGGCCTATCACCATAATCCATCACAGAAAGTTACCATCACAAGTCGAAGAACCTAATGCACTGTAAGCTTAGTGTACTGTACTTCAGGCTTCCTCAGTGTTTCAGAAGATAGCCTTTCAGAGGAAAATCACGGGGTATACTACATTGTAACTAAGACTTAGCAAGATTCGGGCAAATGACAGACACCACTCCTTGTAGCCCTAAATAATCAAGCACAGTATAAATCTGTTTTATATGTCCTTTTCATTTTAAGTACAAGAAATCACACTGTAGTACCTTACAAAAAGATATAATTATCACTAAGGTGCTTAATGATCTTCCTAAAGATGAATTTGTACAGAAAGTTGGTTTTCAACTGATTAAATAGGGATTATCTACCAAGAACCATTAATATTCAAATTTGTAAAAAACAAACAAACAAAAACATCAAAAAACAGGAACATGTGACATGAACAGAAGGGAGCTCTGTGGCTATGTGACTGGTTTCTGTTTGTCTACTTGTCTCGTAGTACTGGATCCAGCCCAGAGCCTGGAAGATGCTAGGCAAGGTCTGAGGAGATGGCTCATGGGTAGAATGCTTGAAACTAAGTGTGAGGACTAGCACCTGAGCCCTAGAATCCATGCAGGAGCCCACTGCCCTGTCTGAATGTCAGCACACATGGTGGAGAGGCTGGCTACACTGGATAAGAAGGCTAGCTCCAGGATGTGTCAGAAACTCTGACTAAATGTGGAATGTGGGGAACTATTAAGGAAGAAACCTGATGTCAATCTCAGGCCTCCCCACACAACCTCATGCATACATGCACTCCACATAGACATGCATCCCATACAAAACCTTGTGTATGGTGGCCTAGACAGAGACAAGCAAATCTCTAAGAGTGCAAGGCCAGCCTGGTCTCCATAGTGAATCCCAGGGCAGCTGGAATCACAAAGATTCTATATCAATAATAATAACAACAACAATAATAATAAATGCTAGACAAGAGCTCTACAATAGTCCAAAGCTCTGGTTATTTTATTAATTTTTAAACTGAGTATGGTGGGGCACACCTTTAATTCCAGCACTTGGGAGCCAGAGGCAAGAAGACCTCTGGCCAGCCTGGTCTACAAAGAGAGTTCCAGAACAGACAGGTTACACAGAGAAACCCTGTCTCTAAAACTCTAATAAGAAAGAAAGAAAGAAAGAAAGAAAGAAAGAAAGAAAGAAAGAAAGAAAGAAAGAAAGAAAGAGAGAAAGAAAGAGAGAAAGAGAAAGAGAAAGAGAAAGAAAAGTAAAGGTTAAAAAAATTATTTTTTTGTACATATATTTGGTGTCTATGTGGTAGACAGTGCACAGAATGGCAAGTAGGTTAGAGGACAACTTGTGAGAGCCAGTCCTCTCCTTCTGTCAGGTGAGTACTAGGGATCCAACCTGAGTTTGACAGCAAGCATCTTTACCTACCAACCATCTGACCAGCCCCTCATGTACTTCTATAAACAAGAGTCTCATTACATTAACCAGGCTGGCTCAAACTCCTGGGCTCAAGTGATCCCATCCCCTAGTTTCCTGAGTATCTTGAGACTACAGGCATAGGCAGCCACACCCAGTTTGGCTTTTGAAATAGCTTTCCTAGCTACATATCCAGGAAAAAAAAAAAAAAAAAAAACTTCTATAATGCAAAGTTAATTTGAATAAATACATCATTCAAAGCCAAACAAGCCATATCCCAAGACAAGTTTCATAAGCAACAAGACAGATTCCACAATGCACAATGGGAATGAAGCTCTATTCCAAGGGATTCTACCCTAGACACAAAAAAAATTCTTGACAAATATAACTGCCTCCAAGACACACCTGCAGCCATTCATAAAAAGCCTATGCAGACTGCCTACTTACAAAAGTAATGGTAAAATGAAATACAAAGTAATGCAGAATTTTAACAGGACGAAATGAAACTAATGTACCTGAGAGTAGGGGTGCTTTATTTTTAGCACCATCATAGCACTGAAGTGAATAGCAAAGAAGAAACTAAAACACACACACACACACACACACGCACGCACAAAATCACCATCACACTTCTAACGTAAATTTTCCATCTGGGCCTGATGGTACTCAGCTGTAATCCCAGCTACAGAGGAGGCTGTGCAAGACATCGGAAACTCGAGGCAAATTCAAGGCTAGATGGGAAGCCTGACAAGGCTCTTACCACTAAATTTTAAAAAGGGGTAGGGGAGCAAGATATATCACAGTTCATAGCACTTGCCCAGTGTGTTCAAAGAAGATTTAACCCCCAACACTGAAAATAAGTTGTCTCAAACAAAGTGAAAAGAATTAATTGGAACACAACACAGATTTTTTTTTTTAAACCTCAAGAGCTGAAAAAACAGTAAATTAATCATTCCGAGCAACCAGTGAGATGTGTTCAGGGTCTGGGGACACTGTTCAGTGGCAGAACACTTGCCTGTAGATATGCCAGGTCCTGGGTTTCACCAGCAGCACCAAGAAGGAGGGGAAACTTATACCTTCATATGTATGTTCTATCTCGGCAGCAACTACAGTCATGTATTTTGATGCACATAATTGTATACAACTTTTTAACCTTTTAAACTTACTACATGAGTTGAAAATATTATGCATATTTTCCCTGCCCTGGCTAAAAGACCAATAGGAAATCCTTCACATTGTCCAAACTTCTGAATGACTAACAACTAGTTCCTAAACATTCAAAATATTACACTGGTTGAAAATTGCTCAATCTGTCCACAAGCAGGGACCTCCAAACTACTGAGTTGAACATGTGTGTACTTCCCTACATGTAGGATGGTCTGGAGGAACATTTAGTCAGTTTGTTTATAATCCCAATGGTATCAAGGGGCCACTGACCCTTCCCTGAGCCTGCCACCTATCACAAATGAAGGACGTGAGCAGTGTAAACATAATACTTCAAGATTACAGTCAAGTGAAAAACCCTGAAGCATTTCCTATTCATTTCTTAACTCTAGTTCTGGTTGATACTTGGGAAAAGATAATTACTGCATGGGCTGCTTGCGGACTCTACAGTCCGGCAGCAGCACCTCTTCGACCTTTCCACACCAGATGCCAATAGCACCCTGTCCCCAGGTGAGAACTAAAAATGTCTCCAGACATTGACACATGTTCACTGGGGAACCAATGTTGGTCTAGGAGTCTGACAACTTCCGTTGGGGGGGGGGGAGAGGGAGAGAGAGAGAGAGAGAGAGAATGAATATGAATATTGCCACGCCAAAGCATTCCAGTTTCTGAAGTTACAAATGCCTACTTTATTTGAAACCTCCCTGTATCCTACAAAGTTAACTGAAACTTTGTTCCTGTAGATGGCTAATTCTTCCACATGTGCAAGATTAAACGCACTTCTGATGATGAATCTGGGACATGCTGGGACAGGCGCCAACAGTGACTGGGTTTTACAGTTTCGATGAATTACACCTTCTTTTAACCCTTTCGTGGACTAAACCACCATCCCTCCCATTAACCCTTTCTTCGCCAACCATTTTCCCGGAAGCCTTCTACAGAATGTGTCCTGACCTTTCTGACACTTGAGCCCCTCACTCCACTGAGGTCTAACCTCTGCCAAGGGCTGCAGCCGCACACCCCCTCCCCTTTCCATACCACCTCACCCTGTCCTTGTCAAAGACCTCAGGACTCTGCTCTAATCCTGCAACCCCTGCCCAGGCCAGCTCTTGACCCCTGACCCCGAACTGACATTTAACCCCACCCTCGCACTCTTCAGAGAGGTACCTGAAGTAGTAGACATCGCTCTTGCCAGCACTGAGCCCTGATTTTCGGATCACTTCCTCCTTCTTCCATCCGGGGGGAAGGGCCGGGCAGTCCATCCTCTTCCCGCTCTCCGTGGCCCGGGGTCCCCTGGGCCCCGGCCCCGAGCTCCCGGACGGGAAAGGG